TGCCTCAGCCTCCCGAGTAGCTGGGACTACAGGCGCCCGCCACCTCGCCCGGCTAGTTTTTTGTATTTTTTAGTAGAGACGGGGTTTCACCGTGTTCGCCAGGATGGTCTCGAACTCCTGACCTCGTGATCCGCCCGTCTCGGCCTCCCAAAGTGTGTCAATTCTTTAAAGAACTAGCTCCACTGCCTCCTGCCTTACATGGTTTCTGATGAAAAATCTGCTGTCATCCTTGTTTTTATGCTTCTGTAATGTGTCTTTTTTTTTTTCTTCCTGTGGTTGCTTTAATTTGTTTTTTCAGAGATGGATGGGATCTTTATGTTGCTCAGGCTGGCCTCAAACTCTTGGGCTTAAGCCATCCTACTGTCACAGCCTCCAGAGTAACTGGGACTACAGGCATATGCCACTATACCTGGCTTAGTCTGTTCAAATTTTGTCTTTATCCATGGCTTTGAGCAATGTGATTATGCTGGGCTTTGGTGATTTTTTTTTCATATGTCTTGTGCTTGGTATTCATTGAGCTTTTGGAGTCTGTGAGTTTAGGGTTTTCCTCAAATTTAAAAAATTTTTTGACCATTATTTCTTCAAACATTTTTGTCCTCCTTCTTCTTTACATTTCTGGGATTCCAATTACATGTATATTAAGAGATTTGAAGTTACTCATAGTCCTTTTCATTGTCTAAAATTACTTTTTCCCTTCAATATCTATGTCTCCAAGTCACTAATATTTTCTTCTGCAATATCTTATCTGCCATTAATTCCACCCAGAGTATCTTTAATCTCAGGGATTATTGTTTTAATTTCTAAAAGTTGTAGTTTGGGCCTTTTTATATTTTTTGTGTCTCTACTTAGCTTGTTGAACCCATGGAACACAGTTATAATAAAAGTTTTAATGTCCTTCTTACTAACTTATCATCTGTGTCCATTCTGGGTCTGTTTCAATCAACCAATTTTTCTCCTCATTGTAAGCTACATTTTTTTACTTCCTGTAAGTCTGGCAATCATTGTATTCTAGATGTTATGAATTCACTTCATTGGATACTGGATATTTTTGTATTCCTATACCTCTTCTTGAGCTTTGTCCTGGGTGCAGTTAAGTTGGTTGGAAAGAATTTGAAACTTTCGTGTCTCACTTTTAAGGTTTGTTAGGTGGAACTGGGGCAGGGTGTGCTCAGTCTAGGACTAATTATTCTCCACTATTCAGGCAAGACCCTTTTGTGTACTCTACCAAATGCTCATGAATTATGAGGAGGTTTTCCAGTCTGGTTGGCAGGAACAGACACTATTACTGGCCCTGAGTAAGCACCAGGCATGGTTCCCTCTAATGTTCCCACATGGTTCTTTCCCCAGCCTTGGATAATTTCCAGGATGCATGCACAGATCAATAAGTGTTCTACTGGGTCCTCAAGGGGGACATTCTTTAGGTCTCTTAGGATCTTTTTGGGAAGTCTTTGCCCTACAGTATTCTGTCCTGAGATTTCTAGATGTTTTGATTTCCTCAGACTCTCAGTTCTAGCTTCTCAAGCCAAGGAGTCCACCAGCCTCTGTCTGAGTGTCCTTTCCCTGCACTGCAACGTGGCTCACACCTGTAATTTCAGCACTTTAGGACGCCGAGGTGGGCATGTCACCTGAGGTCAGGAGTTCAAGCCCAGCCTGACCAACATAGAGAAACCCTGTTTCCACTAAAAATATAAAAATCAGCCAGGCGTGGTGGTGCATGCCTGTAGTCCCAGCTACTCGGGAGGCTGATGTGGGAGAATAGCTTGAACCTAGGAGGTGGAGGTTGCAGTGAGCCAAAATTATACCAATGCACTCCAGCCTGGGCAAGACTCCGTCTCAAAAAAAAAAAAAAAAATTCTCTCAAGGCAATAAGCTGAGTGCAATCATAGGAATCCCCTTGTCTGTATTCCAGCTCCCAGAGAGCACCATCCTTCTTCACCTGGTGTGCTATGTCTTAAAACCTGTTGTTTCATACATTTTATCTGGGTTTTTTGTTGTGTTGTTTCAGGCAGACGGGCAAATCTTGTTCCTGTTACTCTATCTTGGTTGCAAGACAAAGTTGACATGTATCCATTTACAGAAGAATTACATGTAGTTACAGAAAATATACAGATTGGATTTTTTTCTACCTCTGGTATTAATCTGCAACTTACTTGGTTATTTAAAAATGTTTTTGGCTGAGCATGGTGGCTCATACCTGTAATCCCAGCACTTTGGGAGGCTGAGGTGGGAGGGTTATTTGGGGTCAGAACTGACCAGCCAGGGGAACGTAGTGATACCATATCTCTACAAAAAGTTTAAGAATTAGCCAGGCAGTGGCACATGTTTGTGGTCCCAGCTACTCAGGAGGCTGAAGTGGGAGGATCGCTTGAGCCTGGTAGGTCGAGGCTGCAGTGACCTGTGATTGTGCCACTGTCTCTAGCCTGGGTGACAGAGTAACACCTTGTCTCAAAAAAATAAAACAATATAAAATAATGTTTTTGAGTTTATATTGTGTAACTTCTGTAAAATATTCTATTACATGAATGTGTTGCATCATATTTACCCATACCCCACTGATGAACACTTAGGTTATTTCCAATCGTTGTTATTACAAACCACGCTGCAACCAGTGTTTTATGCATGTCTCCTTGTGCCCACATGTAAGAGTTTGCTTAGGGAAAATACATCAGTCAAATACCTCTACAATGTGATCATGTCAATTTACATTCCTACAAGGTATGAGGGTCTATGTCTCTGCAATCCTGCCAATATTTGATATGAACAAGCTTTAAAATTTTTGCCAATCGGTTAACTCATTAGTATTTTAATTTGCCTTTGTCTTACTTTTAGTGAGTTAAGTACCCTTTCTGATTTTTTTATTTTTAAGAGATGGGTCTCGCTCTGGAGTACAGTAGTGCAGTCATAGGTCACTGTAGTCTCAAACTCTTGAGCTCAAGGGATCCTCCCACCTCAGCCTCCCAATTAGCCTGGCTACAGGTGCATGCCACCATATTTGGCTAATTTTTAAATATTTGTAGAGACAGGATCTTGTGTATTGCCTAGGATGGTCTCAAACTCCTGGGCTCAAGTGATCCTCCCACCTCAGCCTCCTGAATAGCTAGATTACAGGTCTGTGCCACTGCATCTGGCTAATATTTTTTTTGTAGAGACAGGGTCTCACTATGCTGCCAAAGCTGGTCTAATCTCAAACTCCTGGCCTCAAGGAATTCCTGGACCTTCCAAAGCTCCTGGCCCATTTTCAGACAATAATTTTATTGCCTATTTTTATTTCTTCTGGAAATTTTCTGTTTAGTCTTTGTTTACATTTATATTGAATTATTTTTATTATATTTTAACTAACTTGAAGAAATGCTTTAAAATTTGGATACTCACCTTTGTTATATATCGAAGATTAATAATTAATATAAATTAATTTATCCAAGTCTATCCCCTGCTTTAGAACCTCTCTTGTCTTGCTGCAGAGAATTTAAATTTGTATCTGATTGGGTTTATCAGATTTTTCTTCTATGCGTTTTGATTTTTTTTTTCTTTTTTTGCCTTAAGAAAGCTCTTCCAGGCTGGGCCCGGTGGCTCACGCCTGTAATCTCAGCACTTTGGGAGGCCAAGGCGGGTGGATCATCTGAAGTCAGGAGTTTGAGACCAGCCTGGCCAACATGATGAAACCCCTTCTCTACTAAAAATACAAAAATTAGATGGATGTGGTGACAGGTGCCTGTAATCCCAGCTACTTGAGAGGCTGAGGCAGGAGAATCGCTTGAGCCTGGGAGGCGGAGGTTTCAGTGAGCAGAAATTGTGCCATTGCACTCCAGCTTGGGCGACAAGAGTGAAACTCCATCTCAAAAAAAAAAGAAAGCTCTTTCTTTTACCAAATTGTTAAAAGATTTTCTTGCATTCTCTCTTAATAATTTGAAAATTAATGTTTTACAATTAGATCTTTAATCTATCCAAAGCTTACTTTTGTGTATAGGGTGAGGCAGAAATATAAATTGCATTTTTTGTGTGTGTGTGTGTGTGTGTATCCTCCCAACACCATTTTTTGAACTGTCTTTTTACCGTTTAAATGTGTTTATCATTTATCATATTCCAAACACATACATGAGTCTGTGTCTTGAATTTTTGTTCTGTTCCATTAATCTTTTTTTCACTTTTCTTGTACCAATATTCAGTGTTTTAACTACTGTTGTTTTATCATATCTTGCTATATTATAAGCCAAATCCTTGTTATTCTTTCTCAAAGTGATCTTGAATTTACTCTCCCATATGAATTTTGCAATCAGTTTTATGTTCCAAGAAAATGTTGTTAATTTGGTTGAGTTAGCATTGAATCTGTAGATTAATTAAGGAATCATGATTATCTTTACAATATTGCGACATTTTATCCATTAATATGGTATAGCTTGCTATTTAGTCAGATTTCTTTTTATGTTTTTCACTAAAGCTTTGTAGCATTTGCAATAATGCTCTCACAAAGTTATATTGAATTTATTTCTAGTTACTTTATAGTTTTATTTGTTGGTTTAAATGGGACCTTCCCCCCGCACCCAGTTGGGTATTGTTGGCATATAAGAAAGCTCTTGGTGTTTGGTAACTCCCCACCAAGCTATATTCACTTATTACTTCTAATAGTTTCTCAGGTGACTCACTTGGATCCAAGTCCACCTTCTTGTCTTAGCTCAGAATAGGTTTTAAATGACAATTTGTTAAATGAATGTTAAAGTGATTGATGATTTTGTAGATTCCTGAGTTACCAGTCTGAGCCTGTGTTCTCCATTCTGGGGGTAGAAAGCACAGGAAACTGAGCGCTAGCTACAGTCACTGATAGCACTAGATTGTTTTTCCATTTGTCCGTTTCTTGCAACAGCAATAACCAAAGTAAACATCCCCCAAAAAACTTCTCTAGCTGAATTTCGTTACTTGGGTTTCAGGTTTTAATATATGAAGTTCATCTCTCGGAACAGATTTTACCTCAAAATCTGAAGCAAGAAATCAATTGCTATGTATGAAGGCATTCACTAAAAAAGTAGCTGGAAATGATGCTGGGTGTGGGAGCACCCATGATCAAGGCACCAGGAACACCTGCGAGGTGATGAGTGAGGATCCCGAGACTGCAGGAGGATATGTAGAATAAAAGTGCCCTCTGCCCAGCCACACTTTTTTATCCCATCCTGTCCCTCCTCTCTGCTCTGCACCTACCACTCCCCACCCAGGGCATTCAAAGTGTGTTTAGCAACACACCATACTAAGAATCACCCACACTTTGCCATTCTCTTTGTGGGAAACCAAACATTGCTCATGCTTCTAGTGAGTAAACAGTTCAAAGTAAATTGCAAGTAGACAAGAGAGATTTAATCTCCTGTGTGAGGAAGGGTGTTGCATAAGTGAAGAGAGGAAACTTTAAGAATTATTCATGCTTGGCTGGGCGCAGTGGCTCACGCCTGTAATCCCAGCACTTTGGGAGGCTGAGGTGGGCGGATCACAAGGTCAGGAGATCGAGACCATCCTGGCTAACACGGTGAAACCCCGTCTCTACTAAAAATACAAAAAATTAGCCGGGCGTGGTGGCGGGTGCCTGTAGTCCCAGCTACTTGGGAGGCTGAGGCAGGAGAATGGCGTGAACCCGGGAGGTGGAGCTTGCAGTGAGCCGAGATTGCACCACTGCACTCCAGCCTGGGCGACAGAGCAAGACTCCGTCTCAATAAAATAAAATAAAAAATAAAAAATAAAGAATTATTCATGCTTAAATACATGCACTGGAATACTGTGCCTCTGACAAACAGAAATCAAATCAGTACAAAAGGTAATATTTTATTTTATTTTATTTATTTATTTTTTTTGAGACAGAGTCTCGCTCTGTCGCCCGGGCTGGAGTGCAGTGGCCGGATCTCAGCTCACTGCAAGCTCCGCCTCCCAGGTTTACGCCATTCTCCTGCCTCAGCCTCCCAAGTAGCTGGGACTACAGGCGCCGCCACCTTGCCCGGCTAGTTTTTTGTATTTTTTTTTTTTAGTAGAGACGGGGTTTCATGGTGTTAGCCAGGATGGTCTCGATCTCCTGACCTCGTGATCCGCCCGTCTCGGCCTCCCAAAGTGTTGGGATTACAGACTTGAGCCACCGCGCCCGGCCTCACAAAGGTAATATTTTACTTATTTTTAAGCTTCTGTCCCTCTGTTGACATTTTGGATTATAACTTTCCAGATAATTTTATGTATGTATGCAAAATCTACAAGGCAATTGACTCCTGTATAATAATGAATGCTTAAGAAGGTAAGAAGTCTAGGCACAGTGGCTCATGCCTGTAATCCCAGTACTTTAGCAGGCCAAGGCAGGTGAATCCCCTGAGTCCAAGAGTTCGAGACCTGCCTAGGTAATGTAGTGAGATTCCTGTCTCTACAAAAAATAAAAATAAAAAAATTGGCCAGGAGTGGTGGGGTGCGTCTGTAGTCCCAGACACTCAGGAGGCTGAGGTGGGAGGATTGCTTGAACCCCAGGACTATGAAGCCACAGTGAGCTGTGATCATGCCACTACACTTTGCACTCCAGCCTCAGAGACAGAGCAAGACCCTGTCTCAAAAAAAGAAGGTAGCAAAAGAAGATTTAAAATTTTCTAATGGGAATGGAAAACCAAACATCATATGTTCTCACTGATATGTAGGAGCTAAGCTATGAGGACACAAAGGCATAAGAATGATACAATGAACTTTGGGGACTTGGAGGGAAGAGTGGGAGGGGGCCTGGGATAAAAGACTACCAGTATGGTGCAGTGTATACTCCTCGGGTGATGGGTGCACCAAAATCTCACAAACCACCACTAAAGAACTTACTCATGTAACCAAATACCACCTGTACCCCAATAACTTACAGAAAAAAAAATTCTGATATGAGTTTCTCCTGCATTTGGATGAGGATGTAAATTCAACTCTAATAAATTACAGTGTATCAAAAGGATTAAAGGGTCTCTCCCTGCATTCTCTCCTAGCTCTGTTGCATCCTACACACAGCTGCTGGATTAATCTTCCAAAACACCAATTTCCTCATGCCACTTTTCAAACGCTAGCTTCCTGGCTTCCTGTTGTCTAAAAACTAGTTTCAAATGCTTTTGTCTGACATTCAAGGAGGTCAGTAGTGTAGAGCCTCCTAAATGTTTCACTCCTACTCCTTCCTTCCACCACATACCAGCTGTGTGCTCTTGGGCTAGTTATTACTATTATTATTATTATTTGAAATGGAATCTCACTCTGTTGCCAGGCTGGAGTGCAGTGGTGTGATCTCAACTCACTGCAAACTGTCCCCCCTGGGTTCAAGCGATTCTCCCGCCTTAGCCTCCCAAGTAGCTGAGACTACAGGCACCCACCACCATGCCCAGCTTGGGCTAGTTATTTTAGACCCATTCCCCTGTCCCTGTGAAGATCGCACCCACCTCCTCCACTCAGTGGCTCACTGTAGCAATGCCCTGAAAGGCTGTAATTAAGTCATATTCCAGCCCCTGGACTCAGGAGTCAGGGGTGATGTCGCCACCACCTAATTGCTCAGATTGAGGATGGGAACGCTGATTCTCAAGAAGAAAACTTGGGCACTATTACGAGAAGTTAGTACAACTGCCTTATAGCACTCTGGGCAAAATTTAAAAACTGTGTTCCAAAAATGCAGCGACACAGGAACTTAGTAACTCTTGTTGGGGCATCTTCCATCACATATGATTCAGTAAGGGTATATCAAGCAAATTCAGCTGTAGGAACTGGCCCATTCTGAGGCGTAGGGTCTCTTATGTTCCTAAATTCATATTTTACCATTGTGGTTCTAGCCACTTTTCTATAGCTCAGGCCCACTTGAGTAGCCCAATTTGCTGGGTTTTATCTGTACACAATGTACATATCCTTTGAAATAAGAGGTATGTGGTTCAATAATTTAACTTTTTATCTTAGACTGCAGAAATTTCTGTAACACTTACCTCAAATGGTATAAAATAAACAAAAACAATGTATTCTATGACGAATCAAACAAAATATATTTTGAGTTGTTGTTCCCCCATTTGAAACAGCACATTTCTGATCATTGTCATCTGTTTGTGAAACAACACGAGACCAACAGTTCTCTCCACACTTACGGCTGCAGCCTCATACCCATGAGTTAAGGCCTCGGAATTTGCCTGAAACTTCCCCTGTCAATCCAAGATGGTCGTGACCAAGCCACTTTGCTTCCGTACATCTTCAGTGCCTCCTTCCACACACACCTTTCCTGGTTTAAACTTTCATTTCTCCAGTTCTATAGCAAAACAATATTTGCAAATCTCTTTTGACCACAAACTCCTAACAGTCAGGGACTTCTCATTTTAATTTCCCCAGGGCTTGGAATTTTGTTTCGTTCATGGGGAGGCACTCAGATTTTTAAAATTGCATTAATGAATGCAACCAATCAATCCATTGCTCCATGCTATGTACAAACACTGTAATAAATATTGGTTTATTTCTTATAACAAAGGCAATAGGAGCTTCTCTCAATAAACTAAATTACAAGGAAAGAACGAAGGTAGGAGAGTAGCTGGTTTATTTGTAACTACTGTATGACAGGCCTTAGTTTAGGTTTGTTTGTTTGCTTGGAGACAGGGTCTCATTCTGTCACCCAGTGGTGTGGTGTTATCATAGCTCCCTGAGGTCTGTAACTCCTGGGCTCAAGTGACCCTCGTGCTTCACCCTTCCAGAGTAGTAGGGACTGCAGGTACGTACCACCATGCCCAGCTAATTTTTTTTTTTTTTTTAAGACAGAGTCTCGCTCCATCACTCAGACTGGAGTTCAGTGGTGCAATTTCAGCTCACTGCAGCTCTACCTCCCAGGTTTAAGCGATTGTCCTGCCTCAGCCTCCCAAGTAGTTGGGGGCCTGCCACCATGCCTGGCTAATTTTTGTTTTTGTATTTGTGTTTGTTTATTTATTTATTTTGAGATGGAGTCTCGCTCTGTTGCCCAGGCTGGAGTGCAATGGCACAATCTCAGTTCACTGCACCTCAGCTTCCTGGGTTCAAGTGATTCTCCTGCCTCAGCCTCCCTAGTAGCTGGGATTAGAGGCACCCGCCAGTACGCCTAGCTAATTTTTGTATTTTAATTAGAGACGGGGTTTTGCCATGTTGGACAGTCTGGTCTCGAACTTCTGACTTCAAGTGATCCACCCACCTTGGCCTCTCAAAGTGCTGGGATCCAGCTAATTTTTAAATTATTTTGTAGAGACTGGGTCTCAAAATGTTGCATAAGCTGGTCTTGAACTCCTGTCCTCAAGCAATCCTGCTACCTTGGCCTCTGATAGTGCTGAAATTGCATGTGTGAGCCACCGTGCCCAGCCAGTATTTTCACATAAACATGATTTCAGTGAATTATCACAATCCTGCAGACACTTACAGACT